TTTCTCCTTAAATACTAATGTTGTGTGTTGCTCCGACCCAAACTACAATAGATGGCTGTAAGTGTAGAGGGATGAATTTGTTTCTACACACCACCATAAAATAATGTTTGAAATTTCTTGTGTGCTCATGTCCCCGTATTCAAATGAAATGTTTATATATTTTGATTTCTCCTTAAATACTAATGTTGTGTGTTGCTCCGACCCAAACTACAATAGATGGCTGTAGTGTAGAGGGATGAATTTGTTTCTACACACCACCATAAAATAATGTTTGAAATGATAGAAATGTTCACATTGTTTTTTGTATGGAAATAGAAAATCACCACCCTCTTTCAAAGGTCTTACCTGTTAAAGCCTGAACACGAAATCAAATTCCAGTATCTGGATATAAATCGTACCTCGCAGCATTTCTGAAAACAAATGCAAAAAGTAAAATAACTAGGTTAGAAAAGAGAACACCCCCTTGAGTTGGTTTAGATGCAGCAAATAACAATTTGCACCCACAAGTCTCTGCAGTACGCATCCTGAACTAAACAAAAGTAACCAACTGTATCAGGAGGCGGATCATGTGACATCTACTGCACATTTGCATACATTTTACCTCAACTTTGCTCTTTATTCAAATTGCCAACTCCTACTGAAAATGCATGACTTTATTGCTGCAAATCAAATCATCCTTTAGGGAATTATTCCAGCTCTGTTGTGAATGTCCTCAACCAATGGTTTTGGAAGAAATTTAGGGCAGGACGTGGCCACTAAAGAATTTCTAACTTCCAAGATAAAAGCTGCAGATTTTGTTCGTATTTGGCATCATCTACTTACTTTCTTATCCTGTCAAGAGCCCAAGTGTCAGCTGCGGAGAAATTTAGGACGCTGCCATCCTGTGTGGAGGAAGCGCTTGATCTTGAGAGCCGTGCACCTTGTACCTAATGAGGGTGTTGACTGAGCTCCATAAACCTTTTAAAACGTTTGGATACCCGGCTCCTGACTTGTGCCTTCTCATAAAAGTATCCTAATGTCCTTTAAAAAGCACATTTTGGCCCAATGTGAATTGTTAATCTGTTCTGTAACCCATTTCCATATAGTACTTGCTAGAAATAGGAGGTTTCCTGTATTTCTACACTTATTTCAATTTCACTATTGTCCACAAATTCTGATTGGTTAAACCTAACTGGTGTTTTTATGTAACAAAATGTTTATCTAATAACTTTTATTTACAGCATTGATAAACATTTTCTAGCATCCTGCTTGAAAGTGTTAGTTCGTGTATAGTCGTGATAGTCAGAAATGTTTCATTTGATTGATATATTTTCACATACATTCACACTGAATGTATATCAAGTATTGATCTGTTAATATTTGTTAATGAGTAAAAATTAAAGGAATAGTTCACCCAAAAATGAAAATTTGCTTAAAATATACTCACCCTGATGACATCCAAGATAAGGTTGTTTCATCTTCAGAACAGATTTGGAGAAATGTAACATTACATCACTTGCTCACCAATGGATGCTCTGCAGTGAATGGGTGCCGTCAGAATGAGAGTCCAAACAGCTGATAAAAACATCACAATAATCCACACCACTCCAGTTCATCAGGTAACATCTTGTGAAGTATAAAGCTGCGTGTTTGTAGGAAACAAACCCATCATTAAGGCATTTTCCTCTACAATATTGATTTCTCCAAAGAAACAGTTCCCGTCTGAATCAGGAGAGAAACATACACAGATCAAGCACTGTTTACAAGTGAAAACAGTCCAAAAGAGTTCTAAACAAATGTGTAGGTGGATTAGATTTTTTTACTTGTATTTTGGCCAGAAGTTTAAAGTTAAAAAACCTTAATCCAAATCTAAAGCCTTCTCCAAATCTGTCTTGGGTGGCCTGAGGGTGAGTACATTTTCAGCAGATTTTAATTTTTGGGTGAACTATTCCTTTAAAGGTTTAATGTCATTAAAGTGTTTGCACTTTTTTCTTTCTTTGCTAAAGCTTTTTCTTTAAAACAACTTTTTACAGCAACAAATAGAGAATTTTGAAAGAGGGTGGTGAGATAGTTTACCAACTAGAGCCAGGGGTCGGCTTTAACCCAGCTTATCATCCTGAATCAATCTTTTTAATGTGTCCGGTCCTATAGAGCGACTCTGTAGCGTGTTACTGTGATCAAGCCTGGTGCTCAGGTAGCTTCATGTGAAAACCAGGTGCACATCAAACCTCTGAGAAAATATCAAAGGTTGTATACTACAAGGCTATGACTGATAAATTGTATATTTTTAAAAAAGATATCACTTAAAATGTTTATTAAACTATTATGTTAAAATCTTTGGGGGGGGGCATTTGTGTTTTAAAAAGATCTGGTGGATTATGTTTGTGTTTGCCACTTAGAATTCATGTTTTCTGTACTGCATGTCATAAGAGATTCATATGTTTATGTGCAGATGTCTATAAAGAGCTTTTATCAGGAGTATATCTCACATGTACAACACTAATATTTATGTTTCTATTTTCTTCGTTCAGTTTTGAATCACAAAACTAGTTCTTAATTACAAGTATCTACATATCTGTTTTTTTCAAGGCATTATTGGAAATGATGTCATTCTGTGCTTAGACACAGAAATTACAGAAAAGCAGCAAAAAATGTATTTATAAATCTATTTATTCATACAGAGTAGGCGAATGAAAAGCTTTATTGTATAGTTTGCACAGCTGTTTATTCATTAAGATGCGCTGATCAAATACAGTCTTTTCTTTGTGCACACCTGCTCTGACATGTTGATGGGACTGTTCAATTCACGAACGACCCTCTACCACGCACCACGCCAAGCCAGAAGCTGTTCATTTGCTAGGTTAAATTAGTACGTAGCGACATATTTGTTTCCAAGAACATAGCGACACATTTAATCCCAGCAAGGGGCCGTATTCTGACTGTGAAGTTGTGAAACTGCACTGCATTTTTGTGAAAATGCACCATAAACTCCATCCTTGAGTCCATGCTTTCAGTCTAACATGAACTTCTTGACTTCAGTTTCAAACTCCCAGAAGTTCATTTTAAAAAACAGAAGCTAAAAGTATCTGTCAGAAAAGGAAATGCTGAATTTCATGTATTATTTCTCAAAATATGGCTTTGTGATGGTAAAAGCAATGGTTCCACCTAATAGGTTTTTACAATCTATATTTGTATTGAGCACTCTTATGAAGTTTTATATAGTGTAAAGACACTTGATACGTTCACATTCATATCCTGTATATGCAATGTCACTTAATCATATCTCAACAATCATTAAACGTGCGGAAAATAGAACAGAACTTGTGTGTGTGTTTGTGTTTCAGTACCAGTGGGCTTAAATATCACAATGGCATTAAAGACTGCAATCACTGGCATATTGATTAAACTTGACATTCAAGTGTTGACTCACAAATCAGTACTAATTATAAACATTAGCATTTATTTACATGAACAAACATTAACAACTCCATTTATCAAAAGCCCAATTAGAATTGACATTAGTTGGAGTTGCATCCATGTTCCACGTATGAGAAAATTACCACCCAATAAGCAATTTGAAGAAAATAAATTATATATATATATATATATATTGTAGTTTTTGGTCAGTAAGATTTTCTTTAAATATATTAATACGAAAAATTAATGCAAATTAAAAGCAAAACAGATAAAGCAACAGATAAAGACATTTACTAAAGTCTCAAATAAATTATATTTAATGATTGAATGCATGATCAAATAAATATTGTCTCAAACAATATTTCACAATTCTACAGTTTGTTTTTCAATAGTTATCAAATAAATGCACCTATGGTAAGCATAAAATAAAGAAAAAACTACTAACCCCACACTTTTGACCTTTTGAACTATTTTCTTAACCAAATGTAATAAATATAAAACAGTATATATATGTACATCTCTGACCTCCTATCAGTTCAATTCTATATTAAATACTTTGTGGAATAATTTTTTTGTTGCTGCAGTTGCTTCATACCTAACAACACTTCTCATTCATGGTTAAATCATAGTAAGACACAGTCTCTCATGGCTTATTGCTTTTTTAACCCCCAAACATCCCCTATACCTGAATGTTCCTCTCAAGCAGGACCTTGTGTTCTTCCAGCATCCTCTCTTTGTTCCGGCTTCAGTGCTGCTCTCCAGGGTCCTGAATTGCTGCTTTCACACTGGATGCTCTCACTCTTCAAAGCAATCACATAGAGAATGAGTCCGTGCACTCTGGGGTGCTCATGAATGCCAATGAATATGAGCTCCTGTAATGAGATCAGATATTTTGAAAACCTTCAAACAGTTCTTAACAGTGTGTTAACAGTTCTGATTTTTTTCTGACTACACAATTTCTATTAATGTAAACATTTAAAGAGAGAGAGAAAAAAACATCTGAAGTTCATTCACTCACCCTCATTTCATTCCAAACTCTCATTCTGTTTATCACAAAAGGTGAAGTTTTGACCAATATCAAGATCAGTCTTTTCAAATATAAAAAGCGAAGGAGGACCGGGGCTGTAAAGTTCCAAAATAACAAAAACCTTTAATAAAGCATCATAAACATACCTTAAAATACTTGTGCTCTACATTCTAAGTCATACAATAGCTTTGTGTGAAGAACAGATCATGATTTAAGATACTATATACTGAAAATCATGACAGTCAAAATATCTGCAATGATCTTCAGAAGAAAACAATATTTATATATTTATTTCAAAACACAAATACTGTTGATTTCCAAATATACACACAACAAAACCATGTGTCATCTCCTGACACTCATTTGGCTTCATAATAATTTATGCAAAAGTTAAGTTCTGAAAGAGCTTTACAATTTTGAGATGACAGATTTCCTCTCACTCAGTTCCTCTTTAACACGAACAAATGGAAAAAAGCAATAAAAGACAAATCAATGACTTGTCAAGCTATCATTTACAAATGAATGAACATATAAAGTATGTTACCTCACTCTGCATCAGCTTTAGGATAAGTTAATGGAAGGTGGGTAGCAAAAACAAAAGCATTCCGACTGAATAAATGACAAAGCACCATTGTCTGAAACTTCAGAGATGATTATGAATAAATGCGGTGTGAAAAAATCTCTTTCAAACTTTGCAGTTCCTGATTAGAAAAACATTCGCCATAGACATACACGTGACATTAACTTCCGTATGAAATGCAGTTTTTTCTCCCATTTTGGGTAAATTATCGCTCCTTAAACTGTCTAGATTAGCATAATGTCCCGTTCACACCAAGAACGATAACTATAAGGTGGTTTTAAAAGTCGTTCTAATCTTATTCTTAGAGGACCTCAAACCAGACCACAGCAGTAATAATGACGCCGTGGAAAGATATCGTTGGGATCACGTTCAGGGCGTTTTCCCAGCTGATAAACCATAAAAATAAACAAAACCCCAACCGACTGTAAAGCGCGCGCTCCAAAGCTTCACAGTAATACATAACTTTATATGACCCGCTGTTTGGACATGTCTAGTTCACAAGATAACTTAACTTTAGTTAACAATTAGGTTTTGAACTGAGAAACGGTATATTTAGAACCACTTTCAGAACAATTATTTCCAGCTGATGAACGTTAAAACACTGACGGCCCATCAGAATCCATCCGACTTTACAGAGCTCGAGCATTTAAAGCGGTAGATAACATTTACTGCAGCGCGTGCTTATAAAAACAGAACGTAATTGTTCGTTGGTGTGGACGCTAATATAGTTCATATCGTTCTTGGTGTGAATGGGTCTTAAAAGAATAGCGGAGTCCACTTAACTTTAACGATAACATCATGGACTTAAGTATCGTTGGAATCTATTTCAGAGCGATTTTTCCAGATAAACGATAAAAACATTGACCGATATTCCAAATCAATGCAACTTATTCACAGAACGTCACTGCAGTGCTTAGAATAAGCACAACGTCATTCTTTGTTGATGTGGAGTTGTAGATGTATTGTTATAGTTATAATTTTCATTCTAGGTGTAAGGATATGTTCTATGTGCATGCAAATAAATCACTGTTCTGTTTAAAATAATCTTATAATTTGTCCAAATAAAATAAAAAATTACCAAAAGAATCATTAAGAGAACCATTTAGCAAAAAATACTTATGACTCTCATCCCTAATAATTGCATTAATAATACATTTGACTACAGGACATAAAACCCCTGTCATTTCTCACTCCTGACTGCTGAATATTCCTACTTCCTTAAGAAACAGACATATTTTTAGAGTCTGATCCATTTTGAGTCCATAAGTAGGTGGTGTACCACTTTCTAGGGAGAGATAAAATAATTACAGAAGTTGGACAAGAACTTTAGAAAAAAACTTTGATGGATGAGGCTGTCTGGTGGATGCAAATGAGAGGTTGAGAGACAGAGACAATCCATTTAGGCGAGAATATTCCAGTTTGCTTCTGAAGTTGTATTCCTCGTTTATCCTTTGCTTAGCGTGTTTGGCCCCAGGGTCCACAGTCCCAGTGTCTGGATTTTTAATGAGTGTCTCCTCACAACCATCAGACTGACAGGAAACAGTGTCCCTGTTACATAGTAGTCTCTTCCCATTCCAATTCTACATCACCTGAGAGAACAAACATGACAAAACACGTTTCCATCAAGACAAAACAGAAGAATGACAGAGATCTTTAACCACCTGCCTTCACTGCACTGCGCAAGTCATTGAATGTAGGATGTATTTTACCCTCCATTGCATCCAGCGAGTCCATCTTCTCCAGAGCGGAGTAATTTACAAACCATATGGACTGACTGTTTCCTTTTGCAGACAGCAGATCCAGAGTGCTTTGATGCAGAAACATGTACTGAGCCTGAGAGAGAGGCAGATATAAATATCTGAGCAAGAGAACATGATCATCTCACACAAGTCTACAGAGACGGAACTATTTTCGCAATATAAAGTGAAATCTGTCGGTTTTAAATAGGTTTACCAGGTTTTGCACCATGCACATCCTCTCACTGCGCAGCTCTGCAACCAGGCCATATATATCCACAAAATCATGATCCCTCACATGCTGAATGAGATGATCCAGGGCTATAAACACTCCAGTCCTGCCCACACCAGCACTGCACATACAGACATTGCATACATGTGTATAAAATTTACATATATGTAAAACTAAGACCATGAAAAAAATTTGTCACTTGAAATAAATCCTAAAACATACTGTATCATAAATCTTACTATGTACTGAAATAACTAGATTCTAAAACTGAAAAAATGAATAAAAACTACATATAGAGCAACTAAAAAAATAAAAATAAAAATAAAAAATTACAAAAACTTTAAAACTAAAATGAAAATATTTCTTAAATATACTTTATATTATATAAACTACAGTAGTATCTTAATGATACTAAAATAACACTGGCCAGTCCAATTGAAGCTTGTTTTGTAAAATAAAATAAAATAAAATAAAATAAAATGGTAATTGTGAGAGTTTAAAATAGGAAAATATGTGAGACAAGTATAGAAATTGAGAGAGAATTCTAGGAAATAATGTTGCAATTATGAGATATAAATTAATTTGCAAGATATAAAGTCAATTAGCCAGAGGCCTATCTGAGAGATATAAAGTATCAGTTGTGAGATATAAAATAATGTTGCAATTATGAGATATAAATTAATTTGCAAGATATAAAGTAAATTAGCAATTAAGTAAAATTTTTTTATTTAAAAAAAATAAAGTCACAATTGTGTGATATGAAGTTGCAATTAGCTTTTTGGCAAAAATGGACTTCCATGCAACTCAGACTCTAACATAAACATGCACCAGTAGCTCACTGTACACTCTAAAATGCTGGGTTAAATAGGGACAAACCCAGCAATTGGGTTGTTTTGACCCAGTGGTTGGGTTAAATGTTTAATGACATTAAAATATCTTTTAAATGTTAAAAGACAGCTAGGGCCAACCTTTCCCGCGGCATCAGAGAGGGACTTGACTTGACTTGACTTGGTTGTATTTAACCCAGCATTTTTTAGAGTATAGAGAAAAGCCTCAAGACTTCCTGTTAATCTAATGGGCAGATATACGCACCTGCAGTGGACCACGATGGTTGTGTTGTCATGGCCTCTATGTGAGCGAACCGCTTTGACAAACTGGATGAGTGTGGAGCTGGACTCTGGAACGCCGTGTTCTGGCCATGAGGTGTAGTTAAAATGATGAACAATCATGTAGCTTCCGTGCTGGAGAGAGAAAGAGAGAGGAAGGGCTAAATGTGTCCTTGGGGACTAATCATCTATTCATCTAACCACCCACATCTGTGTGTGTTATTGTACATTTTTGGACTTGTATAAGGCCACAGACATATTCAAGTATGCATATGCAGAACTGACTACACAATCAGCACATGCAAGCATGCGGCCCCATGATACATACATTTCTGTGGCAGTAAAAAATCTCAATACTTCTGGGAATGACAGAGTTTTCTTTAAATTAAACTGGATGCCATTTAACTGGACAAGTAAATGCAACTAGCTAGCAATAAACTTCAAAATGTTTTACCCTCTCCACTCTTAGTGCCCGGACCGTCCAATCAGGATGCACATCCTCTGTGAGTTTAGTGATTATGATGTCAGCAAAAACAGTGACGGGTTTATTGTCCTCTGGCCAGTACTGATGACAGCGGATCTGAAACATACAGCCACATTACATTTACAGTTTATTATTATATGCATATATTTCAGCAAATCACTGTCAAACATTTATTTAATTGTGTTTTAATTGTATTTACATTACATTTATATTTAATCATTTAGCAGACGCTTTTATCCAAAGCGACTTACAAATAAATGAGGACAATGGAAGCAATCAGAGTACATATTACACATACTCTTAAGTGTAAAAAGTTGAAAATAAATAATGAAAAATAAATAAATAACCAAAATAAATAAATAAAAAACGTAATTAATTCAGATGTATCTAATTTCATATTATTACTGTTTTTATTTTACTTTCTAAAGACTGGCTGGAAATCACATTTATTATTATAATATATTATATTTATAAAATATTATTACATTTAAAGCCACAAGTTTTACATTTCTCCTAAAGTTCATACATGAAACAACACTGTAATGGTGGGTAGAACATTTATAGAAAGTAAATATTTTATACATATTTAGAATATTTATCCTTTATGTATTTATATTTATCTAAATGGGTTTTATACATCATATTAGAAAATACAAAAAAAGTCTATTTTTTTTGTCTGTATAAATGAGTATATATACTTTTAATTAACATATAAAATCCATTTAAATAATAAAAAATATAAATATATCTGCTTTTATATTTTATGAATGAAGTGGCTCACAAAGACATTATGATATTTATGAGTCCATGGCATCAAAACTAGAGAAAAAAGCTGTTCTTTGCGGGACTCCAGTGATTCTCCTACGACATCAGACTGTAAAACCTTAGAACATATTTTTAAGATTATATATGAGTATATAGAGTATATACAGTCAAACCAAAATTAATTTGTCCATGGCATCAAAACTAGAGAAAAAAGCTGTTCTTTGCGGGACTCCAATGATTCTCCTACGACATCAGACTGTAAAACCTTAGAACATATTTTTAAGATTATATATAAGAGTATATAGAGTATATACAGTCAAACCAAAATTAATTCAGACACCTTCACAAGAACTCAGAGTTAAACTGTGTCAGAACAAATTCATATAAATAATGTCAGATAACTTTGATAGAAAGGTATGTAAAGAATTAGGTTGAAAGTACACAATTAGATAATATCAATTTACCAAGCAATGCTTAATTTTGTCCAGTCTGTGGTGTAAAAAGGTCGCATTAGCAATAAAAAAAAAAAACACTTAAGCAAAACATGGTCAGGTCAAAGTGTCTGAATAATTTTTGGTCCCAAATTATTCTCAATATTTACTGGTAGTCCACTGTATGAAGAATTTTTGGGAATAATATGTCACAGTTTACTTTATTTTGCTATCCTCACTTACATAAATGAACTATAGTGTCCTGCACCCACTAGTAAAAAGATATCAAAAATGATATCTGGTCTGAATAATCTTTGGATTGACTGTACAAACATATATCTAATTGACTACATTGTTTTGTTCGATCACACACATACACACCCGGCCCTTCTCAAAGCACTGAGTGAGCATGATAATGGTTTTGGTCCCGGTCTCCCAAATCATCCTCCAGAAGTCTGCGACGGTACTAGGCAGAGGACCCTGAGTGGCTATAAACTCATTAGGACATAGATAGCCCTGAGACACAGAGACAAGACACAGAACAGGAGCTTAGACCAATTCAATTAAAGTTGAGCCGCAGTATAAAAGAGAGAGACAGCTGATATGTGGGCTGATCTCAAGCGCTTACGGAGACGAAGCTGGCATTGATGTAGTCAGACCCTGGCATTCCTGGCTCAGACAGTAACTTCACTCGGTTATTGTTATCTAAAAAAGTTAAAAGTATGTTTATATAAAGAAAGCCTGGTGAGTTTTAAAGAAAGATGCTCTTACCCTCATGTCGTTTTGAACCTTCGTGACTTTCTCGGAACAAAAATAAAACATTCTGAATAACAGAGCTGCCCTTTTCCATATAATAAGCATATTGCACAAAAAATGCTTCTTGAGCAGCAAATCAGCATATTAGAATGATTTCTGAAGGATCATGTGACACTGAAGACTGGAGTAATGATGCTGAAAATTCAGCTTTGCATCACAGGAATAAATTACATTTTAAATGATATCAAAAAGAAAACCGTTATTTTAAATTTAAACATAATTTCACAATTTTCCCTTTTTTTTTTTACTGTATTTTACTTTTGAATAGTAGTTTAGCACACAAGTCATATGGGACACTTCTGAGGTGCTTTTATGTCCTTTTTGGTGCTTGACAGCCTGTTAACATTCTGTTAAACCTCTCCTTTTTTGTTACACAGAACAAAGAAAGTCATACAGGTTTGAAACTACATGAGAGCTAGTAAACAATGTCAGAATGTATTTTTTTTTCATACAGGGTTTAATGTTTGTGAAGCGATTTTTGGAGCGATTCCACGGCAGGTCAGCGTCTGATGTGGCCAGATCCTGAAGCAGCTTCGGCAGCTCCTGAAACACACAGCAGAAAACGTCCAATTATTAAACACACCGGGAAGAAAATCAATCAACCATGGAAAATATTCAGCAAAGTCATTCTTGAGCAGCAAATCAGCATATTAGAATGATTTCTGAAGGATCATGTGACACTGAAGACTGGAGTAATGATGCTGAAAATTCAGCTTTGCATCACAGGAATAAATTACATTTTAAAAGAAAACCGGTATTTTAAATTGAAATATAATTTCACAATGTTCCTGTTTTTACTGTATTTTACTTTTGAATAGTAGTGTAGCACACAAGTCATTTGGGACACTTCTGAGGTGCTTTTACGTCCTTTTTGGAGCTTGACAAGCCTGTTAAACCTCTCCTTTTGTGTTGCACAGAACAAAAAAAGTCTAACAGGTTTGAAATGAGTTACTAAACAATGACAGAATTCAATCAAATTTTTCCTACAGGGTTTAATGTTTGTGAAGCGATTTTTGGAGCGATTCCACGGCAGGTCAGCGTCTGATGTGGCCAGATCCTGAAGCAGCTTCGGCAGCTCCTGAAACACACAGCAGAAAACGTCCAATTATTAAACACACCGGGAAGAAAATCAATCAACCATGGAAAATATTCAGCAAAGTCATACGCCATTGAGCACATAACTCTATGTGCCCAATCAGAACGAGGCGTCACTGAAACTCATTTTACAGTTCACTAGTACTTTCTCTCTCACCCACCTACACACTTTAATGCTAAAACTTACAGCAAACTCCTCCTGAAACTTGGCATTGTCGTTGGCACACAGATCTTCCACATGCTGAAGAAATGATTTCTTACTGATTGGCCTGGAAATGTGTTAAAAGAGAGATAAACAGAGCATGAAATATCCACAAAACCATAAATAATCATCATCTTCAGCATTGTTACCACTACAGCAAGCATTATTTCTAAAGAACACCTCTTAAGAGCAGGTGGTTATGGGTAATCATCTGTTTTGGGGACTCACATATTTATTGAACAATAACAGACAAAGAAGAAGAAAAACAAGAAAATAATATAAGAAAGGGAATAAAATATCAATCAGTCCATCAAGTCTCCTTCACTTACTTGAGAGATTTCCTGTAACTTAGCAGCCTGGAATATTAGACAGTAGAGAATTATTATGAAATTGGCCTTGCACTGAAAAATTAGGTTACTTTTTCACTTTCAGTGGTAAATAAGAAATGAATCTATGTGAAGTTCACCACACGATCTAATTAGAGGAAGACACACAAACATAAAAGAATCGGAGAGTCATTCTATGTGATCTTTCAGGCACAAATACACAAAGCAGAGCAGAACTACAGAGCAGCATTATGAAACCGAACAGCCCCAAATTATAGCAAGGCAGATAATTTAGTGTGGCATATTCATTCATAATAAAACACATTCAACGCCAGGTACTAACAGCACAACATGCAACTGGGAAAATAAAACGTTTAATCTATAAAACGAACGAAAACACTGATGCTACATATCATATAGGATCATGCATCATCTAAACACCAACATCTCTGTCTACTTACTGGATGACAAAAATCTCCTTCCTTCTAAAGAAAAAGGAGGAATACCTGAGAACAGAGGATAGTGCAAGTGTTTGAATGGATTAGTGAGAGTGAATGAATGAAAAGATGAATGAATGAGTGAGTCATTGAGTGAATTAGTAAGTGAGAGAGAGAGTAGAAGACAAAATCACATATAAACTAGTGTTATCAAACGATTAATCGCAACTAATCGCATTCAAAATAAAAAAAATTGTTTACATAATATACATGCGTATACTGTGTATATTTATTATGTACTGTATAAATGTAATTTATTCTTGTGATGCAAAGCTGAATTTTCAGCATCAATACTGATCCCAGCATCCCATGATCCTTCAGAAATCACTCTAATATGATTTTTTTGATGCTCAAGAAATATTTCTTATTAAAACAGGTGTGCTGCTTCATTTGTTTTTGCAAATCATGATGAATATGGAGTTATAAAGTTCTAAAAAAACAATTTACTTGCAAAGTTTGTAAATTTCTTTACTGTCACCTTTCATCAATTTAATGTGTCCTAGCTAAATGAAAGTATTAATTAAAATCTGACCCCAAACTTTTGAGCAATAGTGTACATGAAAAAGTAGAAATGCTAACAAGCCATAGTTTTTTGGGGGGAAATATATAATATAAAATCTCATACTAAAACAAAAATGAAATTATATTTATGATAAATAATGATAAATTATGATAAATAATTTAAAATATAGAAATAAGGAAAAAAAGTATGAAAATCTGAAAGGGAAAGAGGGAAAATGTGAGCGAGACATCACAGCTGGTCTCAGTGCATTAATACTGTAACAGCCCTTGTGTGCTACTTGCGTCCATGCGGTTCTGACCCTATCTGAGTACTCAGAGTCTGTGTACTGCCCACGGAAGTTTGTTGCCCGAAATCTGAACCTACAACACAAAAATAAACTGGTTAAATGACTCCTGGATATATTAATATGGAAATATTAATATTTACAACACAGATTAGTTGTGTGTGCATATGTCACTCACACATAATATGTTTTGGGTTTAAGGGGTCCGTTACAAAGTTTTTAAAATGTAATTTATTCTTGTGATGCAAAGCTGAATTTTCAGCATCAATACTGATCCCAGCATCCCATGATCCTTCAGAAATCACTCTAATATGATTTTTTTGATGCTCAAGAAATATTTCTTATTAAAACAGGTGTGCTGCTTCATTTGTTTTTGCAAATCATGATGAATATGGAGTTATAAAGTTCTAAAAAAACAATTTACTTGCAAAGTTTGTAAATGTCTTTACTGTCACCTTTCATCAATTTAATGTGTCCTAGCTAAATGGGAAATATTAATATTTACAACACAGATTAGTTGTGTGTGCATATGTCACTCACACATAATATGTTTTGGGTTTAAGGGGTCCGTTACAAAGTGTCCTGGCATCTTCAGACAGGCAGCTCTCATCTGCTCCTATAACGTATGTGTTAATGTTTGTGCTCATGCGCTCTGCTTTCTCCGAGCACTTTGGGTTCAAGAAGCCCTCGTCAGTCAGGTATGGCGCAGTAGGGTAGAGGAAAACACTCTTCCAGTTGGACAGATTTCCGTAGTCCATCACTGCATCAACATCAGAACAACAATATAACAATAAACCTTCCTAATGTTTTGAAAGAAGTCTCATTCGGTCACCAAGGCTGCATTTATTTGATCAAAAAATCAGTAAAACTGTAATTTCTATTTGAATATATTTAAAAATGTAGTTTATTCATGTGACACAAAGCTAAATTTTCAGCAGACATTAAAAATGATTTATGCTCAAGAATAATTTCTTATTCTTATCAATGTTGAAAAAAAAATTTCAGGGCTATTTAATGAATAGTTAAAAAAGAAAACTAAAAATCTTTTGTAACATTATAAATGTCTTCACTATCACTTTTGATCAATTTAATGCATCCTTTCTGAATAAAAGTATTAATACCTTTTAAAAAAATCTCCTTAAAGTTAGGGCTGCACAATTAATTGAATTTCTAATCGTGATTACAATTATGGATGCCACAATTACGTAATCGTTCAAAGCGGCAATTAATCGTTCAAAGTCCACTTACGTTATTTTGCGTGCTTAAGATGCGTTTTTTTCTTTCTACATGTTATATTAAGGGGTTTTCCCATTATTTTAATTTTACTTTTAGTATAACATTATAAACATTCATATTTTTACTTTTCTGGAGTTTATTTTGTGTTTTGTGTGCGGCAGTCGTCCGCGAGGGGCTGCCGCTTTACTTTCGTTTTGTGTTTGTTTATTTGATTAAATTATCTAAATGTCCGCCGGTTCCCGCCTCCTTCTTCCCGATCTACAAACGTTGTTACATACAATTTCAAGGGAATAATCGACAATTATGATTTTTGTCATAATCGTGCAGCCCTACTTAAAGTGTTACCGTAATTGCCTTTATTGCTAGTGTTAAATGTCATTTTATAATACCTGCCGGTTCAGAAACAATGACCTGGACTTTTTGGATTGGTCCATGGTCATCTGTAAAGAAACATTCAGGCATCTCAATGGTGATGGTCTTGGAGGTAGAGATGATGACACCTGCGTTGTTCAGAGCAGCCCGCGGCCTCCTCGACGGTTTGGGTGGTGCTAAATAAACCCGTCAGAATCTTAAAATGGCAGTCACTTCAGGAAAATAGTACAGCTGACTGGTTTTCTCATACCTTTCACACCTGTGGTGACCTGAACCTCTGAACTTGGTCCTAAACCTGCTCCATTCACAGCTGCAATCTGCAACAAGCACAAAACAAATGCATTTGGCCCAACTGTGGAAGTCAATAAACAACTTCAAGTACCATTGTGTGCAGGTGAAATTTTAGTATTTAAAACCAAAGGAATGAAAACATGATTTAAAAGACTGATGCAAATATTGCTTTCCATTTTTGGAGCTGCCTTCTCTGTTGTTACCTAGATACGGTTTTAAATAGCTGCTGCTAGTGCTCACAGTGGTATCGGATGATGCAAACGTACCACAGTTCAGTACAATCTCAGAAAAAACAGGTCAAAAAGCTGTCTTTCAAAAGGTACTAACATGTACTTTTGAAGTCCTAATATGTATCTTTAAAATACTAATATGTACTATTTAGGGGTAAATTGGGTACAAAGATGTACCTTTTAGCTTTTGTACCTCAGGGTACTGCCCCAGTGACAGCTTTGTACCTTTGTTTTCCTGTGAGTATATGAACGAGAAAGAGACCTGTGCATGTAGGGGAAGAGGCTGGAGATGCACTTCAGACCAAACAATCAAATCAAGGGAAAACATTAGGTGTGAATGCCCCTAAAATGTTTAGGTTTTAGTTTGCTACCCTTATGCTGTAATTGAATCCACCCTTCAGTCCATCTATAATGGCCGTCATGGTGTTATTAGGGTTGCTGATTACAGGCAGGCTGTTTATGTAGAAGTCCAGTTGTCCGTTTCGATAGATGGCGACGTGGTAGGCACTGATGTTTCCGTTTGGCTCATCCGGTGGAGAGAACGTTACATAAACACGTGTCACTTCCTCTGGGATCACTGTCAATGTCACGTTTTTGGGAGGATCTTTGGGCTCTGGGAAAACATGACCATGAATGTCACAGATAAGTCATGCATGCATGCATTCGATGGATATCTGATAATCAAGCATGCATAAACATCCTCACCGTCCTCCAGGGTTCTGACGAGGATGGGTTCAGATGCTTTGCCGTCTGTGCGAGCGTTGGAAAGCTGCCCCGTGAAGGCGGTGATGGTAATAGAGTACAGGGTAAATGCAGTCAGGTTCCCGACAACCACCGCCCTGATCTCCTCTGAATGCCGCACTAGGCTTATGTTATATCCCAAACCATCCAACTGAAAGAGGACAGAGAGAAATTGAAGAGGAAAATTTCAGAAAGTCAACAGATGAACCAGATTTCTCAAATTTATGAACTCACAGCAGCGATGTCAATGATGTATGAGGTGGGCCCTGAGATGACCGATGGTTCGTCCCACACAATCTTTAACCCAGTGGGAGAAGGAAACACTGATATGGCACCAGGGGGGGCATCAGGGTCTTAGACAAAAAGATAGAGAGGGAAAGAAAAAATAAGGGTTTGCTATATACATATGACAACCCAAGGGGAAATTATGTAGCTCAAAACCTCAGGAGACTTAATAAATGTTTGCTCTAAGCTGCACTTCTCATATTGTTCCCACGTAGACCAAAGAACAGTCTCCGCAAAAAGAAAATGCTCAAAAATGGGTGGAAATTTTTTTTGATCTTGAGAGTTCTTGAATCAAAGCTAATGGATTAGGCAGCGTTTCAACAACATTGCCCATTGATTTTCAGTATGGAACTAAAATCGTGAGAATGCATCTCTGATTCACAAGATCCTTGTACACTGCAGAGATTTCATAGCAGTGTCAAACAGAAGTGAAAGACAAATGTTCCAAACACAGTGAAGCTCACAGAGGCCATGAATCATTACTTTCTTGCTCTGGCTTGCTCTTATTTCTCTCTTGTCGGATTTTTTTATTCTAGAAACCAATAAATATATATTTATATTAACCAATATATATATATATATATATATATGTCTTCTATATACTTCTATATTTTTTGTTTTATTACATATATTTCTGTATTTTTTTTAGAAACTATACAAAGTTGTTTTTCTTTAAAGTTATAAAATCTACATTTTAAGTATCGACCTTGCCTCAGAATTTTCTTAGAAGCAATAAAACAAATGAATTGTAGACATACAGTGAGAGTCTAGAGTCAAAATCAAATTGGATAGTGATCTGAAAAAACTGAATGAGAAATGTTTAATTTTATATTAAGATCTGAAATTGCTGAGATCTCTTCTGAAACTCGAGAGAAGATATGCGAGACTAGACTCTTTTTCTCAGGGGAAACATCTTGCAAATGGGAAACTCAAGCAAAAGTCTCCTATTGGTGTCTAGGATAAACATACGAGACATTAAAGAGATCTCATTTGTGATTTTTCTTTCTTATGGGAATATTTTTATGCATGTGTAACATACTTCCTGTGAGTGTCTGTGTGTGGATCCAGTCGGAGGGTTCTCCGGCTCCAGCCCTGGTGAACGCTACCAGTCTGATACGGTACTCTCTATATTTCAGCAGAGGGGAAAGTGTGACTCCACTGGTTTCTCCTTCAACCCACTCCACAAGCTCACTCTCCACGCAGGACTCCATGTGCTGCTCTGGCTCACAATTTCTTGCCAATTGCTGAATCTCTACATTATAACCCTGCAACAGACCAGGAACATGGACGGGATGCTGCCATCTTAGAGACACACTGTCAGAGGTAACATCCATTATGGTCAGCGACTGGGGCGGACCAGGAACTGCAGAAAGAAAAAGAAACAATCATGTCTGTACCACAAATGGCGCAGAATAAATTACATGCCGAAGTTAATACTTAGATACTTAGTGTTAGGGTTTTTGACAGAGATTTGGAGAAATTTAGCATTACTGTACATCATTTGGATCCTCTGCAGTGAATGGGTGCCATCAGAATGAGAGCCCAAACAGCTGATTAAAATATCACAATAATCCACACCGTTTGTTGTAAACAGTGACCCTCACCATAGACAAATTTTGAAAAAAAAAAAAAAAAGTAATTATTTTACAAAATTATATTTATATTAATGAATCAATTCATAAATATATTTATATAATAGTTTTCTTTATTTTCTATGTATTTTTGTATTTTCCGTTTTTTAGAATCTATAGACAAATTAAAAAAATTAATTAAAAAATAACATTTATATAAATACATTTATTATAATGTAATTAGAGACACACTGTCAGAGGTAACATCCATTATGGTCAGCGACTGGGGCGGACCAGGAACTGCAGAAAGAAAAAGAAACAATCATGTCTGTACCACAAATGGCGCAGAATAAATTACATGCCGAAGTTAATACTTAGATACTTAGTGTTAGGGTTTTTGACAGAGATTTGGAGAAATTTAGCATTACTGTACATCATTTGGATCCTCTGCAGTGAATGGGTGCCATCAGAATGAGAGCCCAAACAGCTGATTAAAATATCACAATAATCCACACCCCTCCAGTCCATCAATTAATGACTTGTGAAGTGTTCAAAATAAACATATTAGGACATTTCTAACTTTATAACCACGTTTTTCAGCTAAAATACGAGTCCTCCATCCATAATATTGCCTTCTAAAGGGAAAAAGTTATCTTGTCTGAATCAAGAGAGAAATATGCGCAGATCAAGCACCGTTTAGTGAAGTGAAAACAGTCCAAAACAGTTCTAAACAAATATGTTGGTGGATTTTGATGTGAGAGGACAACAGGGCATGGACTTTTTCACTTGAGGAAGCATTATTATGGATTATGGACTCTATGGGTATTTTGTCCAGAAGCAAGACTTTAAAGTTAAAACATCTTAATTATGGATTTATTTCTCACAAACAAGAAGCTTTTTACTTCACAAGACATTAATTGATGGACTGGAGTAGTGTGGAGTACTTGCAGATTTTTCTGATGTTTTTATCAGCTGTTTGGACTCTCATTCTGACGGCACCCATTCACTGCAGAGGATTCACCGGTGAGCAAGTGATGTAATGCTACATTTCTCCAAATTTGTTCCAATGAAGAAACAAACTCATCTATATCTTGGATGGCGTGAGGGTGAGTAAATTTTCAGCAAATTTTCATTTTGGGTGAACTATCTCTTTAAGACATCATACCTGACTCTGGTGGAGTGTGTGCAGTACAGTTGGCTTCCTCCCCTATTCCGGCTGAATTAACTGCAGCTACGCTGATGACATAGAAAATGTTAGGTGACAGGCCGATGAAAGTGTGTGCCACTGTGTGTGCGAGCACGAGAGGATGAGCCTCCTTCTCTAGATCTCCAGAGCGAATGAGGTAGTACAGAATCTCTCCGTTAGGATGAATCGGAAGCTCCCATTCCATGTACACTGAATTCCAATCCAATCCAGAGCAGGTCAGATTCCCAATGGCATCTGACACTGAAACATACACACCAACACCACAGATATATCTTCATTTCTCCTTCATTTGATCGCTAAGACTCTGTATATATATATATATTTTTTTTTTTTGTATTTGTATAGCTTTTAAATGTGAAATATCAAACAAATTCAAATTTCAAAGCCAAGGCTTAAAGATTTAAAACCTAAAGTTTAACAAAAGTTTAAACTTTTTAAAGATTTTTTTTTTTACATTTTCTGTAACACAGTTGTCGCACTGACAATAATAAGAAATGTGTCTTCTTGAGCAGCAAATGAGCATATTAGAATAACTTCTGAAGGATCATGTGGCACGAAATGGATGTGTGCGTGTGTATTACCTGATTCATTGGTAGTGAATATGACAGGTAGGCTGTACTGATCCCCATTTCCTGCTCTAGTGAATGCGCACACTCTGATTTCATATGAATTATGAGGTCTAAAGCCACTCAGTTCTGCTTGTGTGGATGCATCTGATGAGTTCTTGGGTAAACAGAGGCATATGAAGTTTAATTTACACACAGAGAAAAATGTGAGAACATAATCAAACATACTACATAGACATAGGGGTGTATTACCTGATATCTGAAAGTGTATGAGTTTAGTTCGAGTATTCGGAATCCGTAGTGCTGGACGATTCCATTTGGCTCTGGACTTGGTTCCCACTGAAGCCACACTGAATTCACAGTGTGGTTAAAAATAATCAGATCGCGTGGTGGAGACATTGGGACTGGACACACAAAAAAGCACATAAGACATTAGACACATTAAGTCTGCACATTTATAATTGAATGAATTTGCAAAGTAGGGTATTCAGATTTGAAATTAGGACTTCAGATTTCAAATTACAATTTTCAAATGTCAAACTTTATTTATTAAATTTTCAAGGCAAGACTTAAGTAAGTAATTACCATTTTAGGATTATTGCCCTTATATAGAGATCATTAGTTGTCGTTCCAAAAAAAATAAATAAATACATTTTATATATATATATACTGTATATTTATTTCTTTTTTCTTCATTTGTTCTCTAAGGCTTTGGCAACTGTATATAATTTGTGTTGTTTTGTGTTGTTTATGTTACACATAACAAAATTGACGAGTGCATTTTAAAATTTAATAAAAAGTTTATAACAAAAATGTTTTACTTTAAATTTTAATTTTTACATTTCAAATGTCAGACAAATTTCAAATTCATATTTTAAAGCCATGCCTTAAAGATCTAATGTTTAACAAAAGTTTAGATTTTTGAAGATCAAACATCAGACCTCAAATTCTATTTCCGCTTTAAAAATGTAAATATCAAACAAATTCCAAATTCAAATTTTATAAAGAAAAAAGATGTAAAGTTTAACAAAAGTTTACATTTTCAAAGATCAAACAAAAGACTTTTCAAATTTTTGTTTTAAATATTCAAATATCAAACAAACTCCACATTCAAATTCTAATGAAATATTTAAATTTTGAACAGATCAGTTCCTCTAGAAAAACAATAAAGATGCATCTCTGACCTGCTTCATCAGTATGCAGTGGAATAATCACGGAGGGACCGACACCTATGCGGGTGACCGCAGCGATGGAGAGATTGTAAGGTGTAAATGAAATGAGTTCCGGGAGCAGTAGGTGTGTTTCAGTGGTGTAGGTTTTGTTGACGGTCCCAGGACCCTGTAAAACTACAGCATAATCTATGATCTCGCCATTGGCCTCCACTGGGGGGAACCATGACACATGGATGGAGGTGCTGGAGAGATTCCTACTAGCTCCAGGCAATGGAGGAGAACTTGGGACTGTCAAAACACAGACACACAATAGTTTTCAATCAGTAAGTATGCTTTATATACATGTGCATGTAAAAAACAGGAAGTGATGCATACCATCTTCATCTGTTCGCAGGTGTAGCATTGCAGTGTGGTTTAAAGCCGATCCAGCACTGGTTGCCGGGGTGACTTTTATGATGTAGGGAAAATACTTTCTGAGCTTGGTGAAGAGGTAGATGTTGTCTGTGGTAGTTTTGGTGATGGTGATGTTGACCGTGCGGTTGATGGACGCGTGGGTCATACCCACCTCTTGGAGGCTCAGCTGATAGAAGACTCTGCCGTTGGGCTCCAGAGGAGGGTCCCAGCTGATCACTACAGCCGTAGAGCTATAGATCGTAGCAGTGAGGTTGTGGACGGGACCACTCGGCACTGCACGGGGGGAGGATGTAGAAGAGATACAATTAATAATGTGTGAAGAACGGCTAACAGTTACACTTTAGAACAAGGAACAAATCATTGCAGTCTAAGTAATAGATGTTGGTTCAATGTGCAACCAAGAAATGCAATGAGGCTTTGTTCCCCAATCTAAAGTAACACAATTAGGGTTTATCTCATGAAAACTTGCAATATCAGGACATATTTCACCTCAAAAAAATGAAGCCTATTAAAGGACAATTAAAAGGTTTTCATAAAGGTCATAAATCATAAAAAAGATAATAAAAATCATAAAGGTAAATAAGTAAAGAAACAAACATTTTAAAAATAATTATCATGATAAAAACTTAGGATTTTATTTTAATATATAATATATATTTTTAAATCTTAGCGTGAAATATGAGCCAGAAATTGAGATTTACCCATTAGATGTACAAAGAACTATCCTTTTAATTAATATATTTAATTAATTTATTAATTTATGCTTAAATAAAGCATAAATGGCACACTGCAACACCAAACCAGTAATATATATTTTTAAATCTTAGCGTGAAATATGAGCCAGAAATTGAGATTCACCCATTAGATGTACAAAGAACTATCCTTTTAATTAATATATTTAATTAATTAATTAATTTATGCTTAAATAAAGCATAAATGGCACACTGCAACACCAAACCAGTCAACGATTCAAACCAGCCAACAATTATAATGATTAAAAGCAGTGAAGATAAATGATCCATCTTAAACCAAGAGATTAAAATATTCATTAAAAATACAAAAGCACACATACAACACACACATGGACATGATATTCAGCAATTACACACATCTGTGAATCTGTGGAAATGAAAAAGGGTAAATACACTCCGGCACAGCGTCTGCAAAATCCAAAGTCAAGATCACAGATATAGAAAAGCAGAGAGAAGCAGAGAAAGACAGGCTGATTGTGTTAGTAAGAAAATCCGTCTGGAGCATGTTCTGTGTCCGAGATATTGCTTTGGGCTGAACTGAGCTGCTGAAGCTGGGTGATTCTCCAGTAACTACAAACCGATCAGACACAATCACTCAGAAAGAGCCAAACAGGACCATGGCATTATTTATTCATATAGAACACTTTCAAAATCTCAGACGCCAGGGGAGAAAAACCTTCATCTGTCTCAGAAGGTCACCTCTGCACCATTTTTCCCAAAATCACACAAAAATGGTTTGTTTTGACTCTTACTTAAAACCTTGACACACGGTATAGATTCTGAAACCAGGTTAACATATTCACATAAACATAAAGTATGAAATAATTCATTTTAGTGTTCAAAGATTGCTCTTTCAAGCATAAAATAAGATATTTTAAAGAATGTGGGCATCAAATGTACTGTACTTCTCAATTGTTTCTTTTAAGAATCAGCTCAGATGTTACTCCTAAATGAAAAAGGAGCGCAAATGAGCTGTTGACATTTAATAAAAGCCTAGAGCTATAAAAATAAAGTAGACAGCTGCTCAGATAATTTGCTTTCATGAGTAATGTTTGAGATCTCTGACCTGCAGATTTTGCCAAATCTGAGTACAATTTGAGATCTCTTTTAAGATACATGACATTACTGGGCTCTTTTTCTCAGCACAAAGATGTGAGAAGCAGGAGACAAAAAAAAGTCTCCAATTGCTCTCAAGCAGGAAGTGTTACAATATTTCTTAAGTCAAATTGACACATTTACAATATTCTTGAAGACAAATATATAACATGTTACATAATGTACCCAGAAACTTACAGCAACGTGCTATTTTCTACTTTCAACAAATCCTGTGAGAGGAAATGCAAGCTGGGATAGTCTAGAGACCGACAAATAAAAGGCTTTGAGATCAGACGCACTCGGTCTCGTGGTGAGGGCTCAACAATCCCAGTTTGCAGCTTGAAGGAAGTTGTCTCCTTTCACAAAATGTGCTGAATCTGTGTGGTGTGTGTGTTTATGAGTTTCAGTGTGATTTTTTTGGGAGCGTAATCTGTTGGAAAAGTGGTGCAGAGCTGCGCTTCTCCCCTGAGTGTGTGAGGAGACTGACCGTCCTCTAACGCGGTGAAGTTTAGATGGGGACTGAACACTCCCCCATCACCAACAGAAGTGCTGGAACTCATCCATACACTGTACTCATGTCCTGCCCTCAGATCAGACAACACCAACCAGTGCTCTGAACCAGGAACCGTCTACAGAGAGAGAAAGAGAACATGGTCATTCACTGCACGACTGAATCAGCATTTCATTCTGAGTTTGGTCTAGCTATTCTTAGAGATTAAATCCTTTACAAAAAGTACTGTGGTGGTTCATCATTTACTTACCCTCCTCTTGTTCCAAACCTGTATGAGTTTCTTTCTTCTGTCGAATTACAACATAAGATATTTTGAAGAATATGGGTAACCAAACAGCTGACTGTAGCCACCGATTCAGTCTTTAGTATTTTTTTTCCCATACTATGGAAGTCAATGGCTACCGTCAACTGTTTGGTTGCCCACATTCTTTAAAATATCTTATTTTATGCTTAACAGAAGAAAGAATCTCAAACAGGTTTGGAACAACTTCAGGGTGAGTAAATGATGACAGAATTTAAATTTTAGGGTGAACTATTCCGTTAAATGTTACATGTCCAAAAACATGGTACATTTGGCTTTTTTCTACTTATTTCTTTCTGATTTCTGCACAACTAATCGGGATTGTAAAACCTGCCAAAGGTATTTTATCTAATGAGGATATCAACACAAGAAAAACAACCTTAAAAGTAAAAATGTCTTAATTCATATCTTAAACAAATCATATCTACAGTAAATTGCTGCTAATTAGGTGTGACAAGTTTCCAGTGACAGCCGATTTAGTTAGTAAACAGCTAATTAGAAAACTTATTAAAAACATATTCTTTTTTAAAAAGTCCAGTTTTGCATTAAGATTATCAAACATGACAGCAAAGACTTCATTTGAACTTTCTATTCATCAAGGAATACTGAAAAAATGTATCACAGTTTCCACACAAATATTAAGCAGCAAAACCGTTTTCAACATTGATAATAATAAGAAATCAGCATATTAGATTGATAATAATCAGAAAAATACGCATATTATTTCTGAAGTATCATGTGACACTGAAAACTGGAGTAATGATGTTGAAAATTCAGCTTTGCATCACAGGAATAAATTATATTTTAAAATATATTTAAATAGAAAATAGAATGCCATCATGTTTAGTGTTGCATAAAATTCAAGGTATTGATGTTTGCCTACAAAACCACCACTGACTCTGCACCCCTTCACCTAAATTCATTACTTCAGACTTATGTGCCCTCCAGAAGTTTGCGTTCTGCAAGTGAACGTCGCTTTATTGTGCCATCCCAAAGAAGCACAACATCACTTTTACGGACTTTTAAATTAACTGTTCCCTCCTGGTGGAATGACCTGCCCAACTCAGTCCGAGCAGCTGAGTCCTTAGCCATCTTCAAGAATCGGCTAAAAACACATCTCTTCCATCTTTATTTGAC